TGGGTCCAGACCCGAAACATCAGCTTTCCTGCTCCTCTGATGCTGCTTGGCCTGCTGAGTTCATCCAGCTCTACACCTTGTTATCTCTGACAATACTCTAAGTATGGCCTAACCAAAGTCTTATAAAGCTGCAACGTCACTTCCTGACTCTTGTACTCATTTCCCAGACCAATAAAGGCAAGCATGCCAAATGTCTTATTTACCACCCTATCTACTTGGATGGCCACTTTCAGAGACCTATGGACTTGAACCCCAAGATCCTCATGTACATCAATGCTATTCAGGGTCCTGCCATTAACTGTATACTTTTCCTTAACATTTGATCTCCCAAAGTGCAGCACTTCAAATTTATCCAGATTAAACTTCATCTGCCATTTCTCCACCCATTTCTGCAACTGATCTATGTGCTCCTGTGTCATCTGATAACCTTCAACAGTATCCATAACTCCACCAATCCTTGTATCGTATGTAAACTTTACTAGCCTACCCATCTACATTTTCATCCAAGTCATTTATATATATCACAAACAGCAGAGGCTCCAGTACAGGTCCCTGCGGAACACCGCCAGCTACGGACTGCCAGCTAGAAAAACATCTCTCCATCACTACTGTCTGCATTCTATAAGCAAGCCAATTCTGAATCCATGTGGCCAAGTGACCGTGGATCCCATGCATCTTAATCTTCTGGATAAGCCTACCTTGAGGGACCTTGTTGAAAGCCTTACTAAGATCCTTGTAAACAACATCCACTGCTCTACCCTCATTGATCACCTTTGTCATCTCTTTTGTCACCTCCTCAAAAAATTCAATCAAGTTAGTAAGACATGATCTGCCCTGCACAAAACCATGCTGACTGTCCCTAATTAGGCTATGCCTTCTAATTTTGAAAATGTCCATCAAATCACTCCTTTAAACAGAGCAGCCCCTGCTTCTCTAATCTATCCATGTAACTGAAGCTCTTCATCTCTGGAACCATTTTCCTAAATTGTTTCTTCACTCTCTCTAATGCCTTCACATCTTTTTAATGTGCAGTGCCAAGAATAGGACACAATACTCCAGTTGAGGCCGAACCAAGGAATGAAAAATGTTCATTATAACATCCTTTTGACACGACACTACTTCTCTGAGCTTAGTCCCATTGCTTTTGTATCCTGGCTCTACACAAAGCACAATCAGGTAGCAATGGTTGAGAGTTGCAAAGGAATCTGCTGATTTTAAATGGCCAGGAATTTGGGCTCCACTATTCTCCTCACAATTTTACTTTGTGAGTGCTGCTCAAGCGAAACAATACATGGCAGACTGTCCTCAGAAAATACTGAGTCGGTGATATAATAACATAGATTGCACAAATTCCAGGGCCATGCACTTCTGAAATTTTTTAGTTCCATCCTCCAAACAAGAAAGCAGTTCTGATTTACTCCATATCCATTTTTCTATCAGTAGAAAAAGATCTAAACTCACCAGGGAGAGATTGGTAACGGGAATCATCACACATTATAACAACTGCAAATATGCGCATGATTTTCCTTTGGTCAGAAATTGAAACTTAAACTGCTTCATTCACCAAAGTAAAATGGCATTTGCAGACTTTAAACCCAGAACAATCTTCTGGCACTAAAGGAGGCCACTTAGCCCATTGTTCTAAACGCTGATCTTTGAAAGGTCTGGAAAACTTTGTTCCACAGTACTGCTGACCTGGGGAACTAATACATGAGCAAATGCTGAAAATCTGAAGTAAGAACAGAAAATTCTGGAAATACTCAGGTCAGGAGAGCAGCACAGTGGCTCAGTGGTTAGCACTGCTGCCTCACAGCGCCAGGGACCCAGGTTCAGTTCCACTCTCGAGCGACTGTGTGGAGTTTGCACATTCTCCCCGTGTCTGCGTGGGTTTCCTCCAGGTGCTCCAGTTTCCTCCCACGGTCCAAAGATATGCAGATTAGGTGGACTGGCCATGCTAAATTGCCCCTAGTGCGCAGAGATGTGCAGGCTAGGTAGATTAGCCATGGGAAATGCGGGATCACAGAGATGGGCGGGGGGTTTGGGTCTGGGTGGGATGTTCTTCAGATGGTTGGTGTGGATTGAATGGGCCAAATGGCCTGCTGCCACTCTACAGATTCTACGGTTCAAGAGGAAACTTCTATTGAGAGAGGAAAACATTAATGTTTGGGCCGGAGTACTGCTAAACATAGGATTCTGAAACGAGGGGTTTCATTGCCCATTAGTTGGTGTGGAATGTAGCAGGATTAATGCTCAGGAACATAACCGCAGGTTCAAATCCAAGTTTCTTTAGTTCTATAATGGGAAATAGGGATGTCCCCTCTTTACCTGATGTGTTGAGAAGTTTTGTATTGATTGAAGTAAATAAGAATTGTTTTCTTGGTCTGAAACACCCTGAAACACTTTCTAAGTTACGTGGCCCTAGAATTTGTGGAATCTATATTATTACTCCACTGGCAGAGTGTTAAAAGAAAAGACACAGCTTGCAGAGTCTGTAGCAGGCATATGTGTTCAAACTTGATTTACTTGCTATAAGCAATGGTTACATTCATAAAAGTAAAAATCTTATTGAAAACATTTCAAAATAATTTAGCATATTGTTGAATTAAGACTTTTTATGAGAATTAAAGTCTAGTATTGTTGTGCAAGATGTAATGTTATTGTCAGTTCTTAGCCATCCTTGAATGTACTAATGTCGACAACAAAATTGCAGCATTGATATTTCTGCAATAACTTCACTCAGCCAAGCCCAGTTTTAGTTTGGCTTCAATATATCTAAAGAAATAGATATCCCTGCATTTATGTAGTGAGCAAACATTAATTTTCTGCTTGAAATAAGTTCTAAATTTAAAACTAGCAACTTTTGAAATTGACGTTAATGCAAACAAGTATTGGGATTACTTTCTCTGGTCAATATAAGCGACCAGTCTGTGTTAAATGTCTCCAATTTAAATGGTCGAGACTGTATTTGTATCCAAATTTCAGCCCTTATTATGACATGAGTTGATTAGCATATTAACCAGATTATTAGATATAATGATTGAAATTTAACAGGAGTGCACTTTTCTTTAACACTCTCCCCACTATTGAACTCCTGACAAAGGTTTGTGTTTATTAATTCCCACAACCTTTATCTTAAATACAAAATTGATCTGTCTGTTTGCCTCACAGCTAGCACAGAGAAAGATCAGGGAAATATTAGCTCAAGTCAAACATCAGCAACAGCAGAAGGTACAAAGCAACCAGTCCCAGCCTCGGAGGAAGTGAAAACACCAAAATATGCCAGACACGTCCCAACAATGAAGACAGATGCCAGGCCAAAGAGTGGCTGTGTTTAGATCAACTTTTTGTTCACTTTTTAAACTGTGGAAGGCTAAGTAAACATTGTCGAAAGAAGTTATAATAATAGGCATAAGTTGGTGTAATTTAAGACTTTTTTTCTCTACTTGAACTATGTAAAGGAAAATTTAGAGTAGCAAAACCTCAGTTCCATGTGGGGACCAGGCCAAACATGCTCTCTAGATATTGACAATATGTCATCTGGGAGATTGGAGAAGCTGTTTCTTGTATAGATCTGGAACCCCTTTCCACTTAGATCTATACTGGTCATCCTGTTACAGATTGATTCCTACCAGTTTTGGGTTTGTGACTTATTTCTGATGACAAGTTGCTTGTTATTCATGGTAGAATGACTATACTAGCAACTTTTTGAGAAGGATCCTCCCAATTTGATCCCTCTACAATGAGTGGATTCTTCTTTCCTGCCCTTCCTAAAACCCATCATTGTGCTTTCACTCTATTTCTGATGGTTGGTTTCAGGGAGACATGTAATGCTGGCCAGGTTATCGACAAGGTGATGTGGTCAATATGGTTGGGTTTGTGGACTATGGACAACAGCAAAATTGGATTCCAACGTAAAAGTATTCCATTACTCATCAATGACAAACAAAAGGCAAGTCTGATTATGGGATGTGGGAAGTCAAGAGAGAAAAACATAATATCCAGTGACAAGTCGTTTAAGTAGGCAATCTACCTCATAACCGTCAGAGGACAAGTAATGGCCATCAGATCCATCCAATTAGATATAGTTGTAGACTTCTAGCTTTGTCACTGAATGCAGGTCGGTATATTTTTTCTTAAGGTAGTCGGTAATTGAAGCAAATTTAATGATTTTCCACAACCTTTAAGTCATGACCCCAAAGCATTTGATTAATTTTCACTAAATTGAAAGGTGTGAAATACACTGATGGTTAAAATAGCATTCATTTATTCTTAAAAGCCACATGACTCAGTGTAGGAATAATATAAACTTGTCTATGTCAGGTACCATTAGGTTGTGGGCTGTAGACACATTATAAGAGACACACACAAGTAAAATCTTGTTTATGGATCTTTGAAGCTGAATAGAAATACTCTCACAATAGATATAAAGTTTCCATTGAGGTCAAATCTTTATAGTGAGATGCATAATGCATGGGATAAGGAGCAGCAGAACAAAAAAAAAATTTGGAATGACTTTGGAAGGTGAATGTGATGATGAATGTTTATGAGTTCTCAACAGCTTGTTGTCCATATCAAAAAGATTCCAAGAATTGAACTTCAGTACTTTGGCTTTAATTTTAATTCAAACAGTAGACCACTAGACCTATGGAAGAGTCTGTAAGGTTGCTTTCTGTGCCAGTTCCAGGACTGCTAGCTGAGTTAGGAGGTAGATGGTTAGTTTGAGTGCAGCATGTCAGCCAGTGTACACTGCTAGCTACATCCTGTGAATGGAAAATTAAGGCCCTACTGTGTTTCAGTCGGAGTGGAGTTGATTTTTTCATTGAGTGTAACTCTGGAATCTTGTTTTAAAAGAAAACCTAATAAAATCTGGAGAGAAGTACCCTGCTTTATGCCCATTGTAAATGTTTGACTTCAATGGAATCTTCTAAAAAATGTTGGGAAATTATTGAAGACACAATCTTCACAAATGCTTTCTACAGATAATTATTGTTCAACAGTCTCTAAAAGGGGTTTTGGGATTAGGCGACAATGCACACAAAGGTACATTGCATTCTTCTTCCTCTGCCTGCACCACCAATCAATTGGTAGGATACCATGAGCTAGTTGAGCTTTGCTCATTGCTGAGTATATTTTTGGCATGGGCAGAATCTGTGGAATAAAATTGGGATGCAGAGAAAAAAAGCAACCTTCATTTGAGCTAAACTGATTCTTGATTTGTCTAATTTTATTCTTTTATACTAAGCCTTCCACAGTGTTAAAACGCTAGAAAATTGTGTATTCTTGCCAAAACTTAAATGAACTGTGATGATTGATAAGGTAATGCCAACCATGTGTGGTATTAACTTAAAATTTATTCCGCTTTCTTGAACTAAACTTATGAATTAATTCCTTCCAAGTGGCCAAGATTTTAGTGTGGTGTTTTTCCCACAATAAACATGTCATCTTCTTGTGTCAGACAGAGTTACAATCGGAACTTTGTGTGGTGGACACAAATCTGTCTTGAATTTATCTTGTCATTTTTTTTTCCAACCCTGGAATTTGTAGTAAGGAAAGAAAGTGGAATGAAACTAAGAGTCCCACATGTGAGGAGTATGGTATTAACTGAAAGAGATTAAAAATAAGTGAAACATTGAAAGAGAGAAAGATAAACAACTTTGATATCTGGTCCAGTCCCTTTTCTAGGAAAGATTTTTTTTTAATTAATTGAGTTGTGAAAAATAAAATTGAGAGAGAAAGAGAAAACATGACACTGCTAAGGAACACCGAAGGAAGTATATTCACCAGTGATGGCCCAGGGCATTACTGTGTGCTTTTACTAGACTACCTCAGGCGTTTAGTACCTCAACATTTGTTCCTTTTTTGCTTGCTGGTATTTTATATACTTATAAAGCTGATAGTCTTGAATATTTTATTTTTTTAATAAAAGAAAGTAAAATTTGCTGAGTTACGTACAACAGCCGGGAAATGCGTGGAGTGGGCTGTTAGTTTTGCCCCTGCTTCTAGTCATTGGAAGTGTTTAAATAATTAAAAAAGATTTGAAAATTGCAGCAATTGCCTCAGATCTGAGGTACAGAGGTGCCACATTGGGAACAATTTGCATTTTTGTGTACTTAAAGGCAGTTGTGATGATGCAGCTAAATGCCACATTTTTCTATTTTTAGACATTGAAAATCACATCTAATGTTTTTTTTTCAGTTAGTGCTGTGTAAAAAGCTTGGATTTCCTACACTTACCCAGATTCTTTAGGTTTTGTCACTATTGTTGTGTTAGCTACTTTCAATATAAATAACTAATAGCCCTGTAATGTGTGAAAGATCTTATCTCTGCACACAATGCTTTTCATGATTATTTCCTCTATCCACATTTGTAATGAGAGTAAAGCCTCGAAATTGTATTACTCTGAAAGTATACCTTTCTATTTCTGTGAAACATGCATACATTTAAAATAGGGCTGTTTGACCTCTGCAAGCCCTAGTTAGTAATTCTGCAGCCTTAACTTCAATCTCCCTAATTCTGTCTTCATCCCTGCTCAATTATTGCTCTTGTTGTGACTTGCTGTGCACACAACTAGCATCTTAACACAGCAGAATATCTGAGTGGGATTCGTGTCTTTTGTCACTTCATATATACCTTTTACTTCCCGCTCCTCACTTCACCTGCTATTATTCTTCTCAATGTATTTATTTCTAACGCAATGCTTCAAAGCTGGAAACTTTCAGAGCTTCATTATTTGAAGCTCCACACTTTATGGTTAAGAGGGTAACGCAAAAACAAAAATTCCTAGTGCTTCTTGCAAGTTATCTCTTATTTTCTAATCTTCCAGTCAGTTTTCCACAATTGTGAAAATGCAAATGAAAGAATTTGGTGGAAATCACCAAGTGGTGAAGCTTTCCTCTAAACCCCTCCCAATAACTGAAATAAATAATTCCAAAACAAAGGGAAAGGTCAATGTAGGACAGCAGCTGTTAATGGCCTTATTACAGTGGAAAAATAAAAGTTTGGAGCATATGACCTTCTACATCACTATTGCCATCTTTATGTTCACAAGGAATATTAATTCGAGAACAACAGGCTGCATGTCTATAAAGTCTCGGTTGCAGCTCCTGGTGAGGGTGAAGTGTTAAAACAGTGAGATAAGCTTCTCTTGAGGGCAAGTGGGAATGGACAATAAATGCTGGCGTTGGCAGTGATGTCTCTGTCCCATAAACAAAAATAAACAACTGGACCACATTTGGAAGATATGTCTAATTATTATGCCTTTTTTATGAGCTTGGGCCGTCTTCCCTACCCCATCCAGGTTGCAGATCCTCAAGGCTTTACTGATGGCTACAACCCAGCTCCCTGCCCAAAATGACCTCGACACATACACACAAAGCTGTGTTTGTACATGCATCCAGTCTCTTTAAAATAAAAGCGCTTTCAAGTTTATTTCTTTGCAAAATAATCTGGGAAAAAATCCAAGTTTTTTGCACATGCCACCTGCTTTTGTTAAATACTTCATGTGGGAGCAAAGACTAGATTCTGAAAGTGGCTACATTTGTGCAACGCCCATTCAACCATTGCTGTATTTTGTTTTCAGGTTAAGGCATTGTCCTCTATACAACCCTTCCTTTTATTCGCTTAAATCGTGAAACAGCCTATTCAGACTTCGGCCTTTTTTTTTGACCCTACAGCAAGCATCATCTCACCGACACCTGTTTGAGCCTTTTTATATCTTGAAGCTACAGTGCTGGCAATTGACACTTGCAGTGGTGGATTGCTTATTGCTATTGACAGTCCTGCCATAGACACTGTCTGCCTGGATACTAGGGTCTGATTGTCTCCTCCCGCAGAGCTCCATGTTAACTGAAACAAGAACAGAAATTGATGGAGAAACTGAGTTAGAAAACTTCTTTTTTGGAATATGCATGTTTGAAGAACCATAATATTAGGCAGCTTTAATGAAGTTTAGGGAATTAATAAATTTAAAGGTCAGCAAAGTTCTGTTGGAAACATTATTGTAGGTCAGTTTGCTTTAGGGGCAAGTGCAAATTACAAACCTCCAGTGCACAAATACAGATGGAAAATTTTAGAAATATAAGGCAGAATGTCAGCAGCCAACTAGAAAAATGTACAGTTTAATGTTTTGCATAGTGAAGTACACCAGGGAAGTAGATTAAATTTCCATAAGGACAAGGGTTTGTGTCTTGGAAACCTTGTCCATTTCTCATTCCCAGTTCTGATGAAAGATCCTTATGAAGTTATTTATCTGTCTGTTGGCTTTCAGAAAAATGGAGGACTTGCCCTGTGGTTCCACTTTGAATTTCCAATTCGTAGCCTTTGTAATCTTTCCCATTGTACTTTGAACATCTGTAACTGACAATAGGACATAAAGACGGAGCTAGATTAACCTTTATGTCATAAAGTGAAATTACTTTGAAAGTAGTGGTCTGTGGTAAAGTTTTATGCCAAAGTTTGGCTTCACATGTTAATTAGAGCTTAGAGTTTATATGAGATTGGCTAATGAACACATCAAAGTGCATGTTAATTCCCACTGGAGAGCCTTAGGTTCCAAACAGAGGTTTGATTTATCATTACAGATTTCGTGTGAACAATTACAGGTTTAAGCTGGATCAATTGAGTCTGCAAGGCAGGCCAAACATGCCGTAGACCTCCATAGTGTGAAACGGAACCATTCAGACACCTAAACCAGCTCTGATGAGCTTAGCTTAAATCCTAAGTGTTGCTTAAATCTGAGTGTTGACTGGAGCAGAACCTCTGATTGCATGTTGTCCAGCCAGAAGGCCATAACGTTATTGGCTGTAAGGCTCTGATTTTGTCTATGTATGGAATAAATGGCCTATCTTTTAATGCACTGCTCCATTCAGCTCCCCATGAATTTTTTGTAGCACGAACATCTCTTTTTCAAACTCTTTAAAACCACTAAATGGACAGCCTCATGAAGGCCAGGTTTGCTCACTTCATTTAGCACCAAAACAACCAGCGGTGAGTTTATGGTTCGTTAGATGGTGGCAGTGGGCAGTGCAGAGAGTGAGAAATTAAATTAGGGTTATTAAATAAAGTGTTCACTCTGGCACAGATATTATTTTAAGCAGGAAGACAACCAGATCACAACAGGCAGGAGACATTTTCTATGGCAGGACAGAGTTTAAGATTCTTAATACTTTAGTTTGAGCTTAAAGAAAAGAATGAGTTTACACGGAGCATTTGTTTAAAAATAAAATCACTTGTCGGGCTGTTTGGAGGGCAATTAAAAGTTGATTATCCAACTTGTGGCCTGGCCTTTGAGTGGCACCAGAGTTTAACTCCAAATTGTAAAGATTCGTTAATGTGCATAGAATTGGGCTAATTTAAAACAAGAATATATGACATATCAACTAAGAATTGCCAGCTTGGTTTTGTTAAAAGGCAATGTCCAAATGATGTGGTTAATGTGGGTTAAGCTGTTAACCTTTAAGCCTCAGTTTATCCACAGGCTGCAGATCTCGATTTCTTAATCTGAAGTGTGTATGGTTGGCATTTCCTCCATGGGAATGAAACATGGAACATTTAAAGACAGAGGTCCACCTTGGGCTTCCCAAGGATCTTCTTGCCGTAATAGTTTTTGAAGGATTCTTATACAAGCTGCTGCCCCATTTGCACCTGTGCCCCAAAAGATCCTGTTCGTATTCTATCTGCTACTCCTGTGATAAGATTAAACAAGCTGCTGTGTGGGGTAATCGACATGACTATCAGATAGAGGTTGACTGTAGTTATTATGAAAGACTCTTTGGCTTCCAGGTGGCTTAGATTAGCATTTGGCCACCACCCACCTCTACTTCTTGATGACTCATACTAGGGTACAAATCCCCAGGATCTGGTACTTATGAGTATCTTGTTCAACCAGCCAATGCAGTTGAACTTTGATGACTTATTTGACTGTGAAAAGCATCACGACAAAATCTAATCCCCCTCCTTGCTCAATATTCATTCCCATACTTAACTAGCAAATGTTACTGTGTAGCAGTGATAGATCAGAGGTTATATTTTTAAGATTCTGGAAGGAGCTTGAGACCAATTTCAAAGGATTCCTCACTCTAATTACCCCTGGTGAACTTTGCACAGAGTGGAATTCAGTCTGAACCAGGCTAATCATATTGACTCTGGCAGATTCATTGCCGCAACCTTCAGCACAACAAAGATACTTCGGGTGATGTGAATCCAGCAACAGACCAGTCTTCACTGAAAGCAAGATAATAAATACTCCACCTTCCCCCATAAAGACAGTTGGACATTGCCTTTTTTCCTCAATGTTTCTATTTTTGAACTGTGCTGAGGTGCTTGGAATAAACCCACGAATATCCAAGACAGTAACTACCTCAAAAGGTTTTCCATGTGAAACAAAATGCTGAATTACGAGTTACTCTGTTACCTCTGCTCCGATGCAAAGCTCCTTCTTTGCCTTGCT